CAATACTTTATGGATTTATAGATTTTCGCGGAATCTTTTAGAATATTTTTTCTACAATACTTGTAATAGTTGAAAAGGAAATGCAACAATACTTTATGGATTTATAGATTTTCGCGGAATCTTTTAGAATATTTTTTCTACAATACTTGTAATAGTTGAAAAGGAAATGCAACAATACTTTATGGATTTATAGATTTTCGCGGAATCTTTTAGAATATTTTTTCTACAATACTTGTAATAGTTGAAAAGAAAATGCAACAATACTTTATGGATTTATAGATTTTCGCGGAATCTTTTAGAATATTAAACTCACGTTTCAACTTTTGTCTGTCGATGACATTTTTTGGAACAAATAAACGAAAATTTTGGTAATAAACATTTAACTGTAAACATTATTAACGGTCTTCTTTTTTTATTATTTTGGAGCTCTCTTTGGTAGTCTTCATTCATTACCATTTTAACCCTTCAATCGTCCAAATAAACTCTGCATTTGAACAGTTTTCTCATTAATGGGTCTATGGAACCTTTCAAGCTTGTGTTATTCTCAGATTGTTCCAGTCAGTGAGTTTTGTTTTTCTTGGCAGTCTAACAGTGAGACTGGTTTGTCTGTGACTTATAGTTTTGGCGTTGTTTTTCGTGACATTCAAAGCTTTTCGATTGATTTTCTATTTAGTTCTTACCTTTTGTATTGATTTTCTGTCACCTATTTATCCTGCAGACTTTCCTCAGCAGCGTTTCAAAATTACGTGTTGAAACACCATGTTTTTCTTCTGTTCTCCGTGAATCTTTATCCCCACTCTTTATTTCTGATGGTATTTCTTGAATTAAAGAATTATAACTTAAGTAGAACATCATTATTTATTAATTTAAGGCTGTCTATATTGGATTTTACAATTATTGGTATAGTTTTTTTTAATACAACACGTTTTTACATCATTTAATTTACAGCTCACTCACGTATGTTCAGGAGTTTCTTTCTCTAAAGCCTCATAATCGCAGGTTCTTTGTTTTTCGTGCAACATTTAAAATAGTGCGTAAATACTATAAATATTAACGCACTAATCATCTTAATGCCCCTCTGAAATATATATAAATGTATTTTGCTTAATATTGCCTGAAAGTTGTTACGAATAACAGATAGGTTTATCTTATTTTACCTAGACTTTTTAAGGAATGTTTTAAGCAAATCAATCTTAGAATCTTGTTGTTATTGAGGAATATTTTCAAAAGTTGGATATTAATATCATTTATATTTTTCTAAAACGCTTTAGAAAGGTTAATCTGGATCCTACAATTACTCTGCTTCAAAGTACCAGGAAAAGTTAATTTTAATTTCACGTGGGTGCCTACAAAATAATGGTGTTAGTTAAAATTAATAAAAATAATAATTTAAAATTAATCAATAGTATAAGTTATAGTGAAAAGGCTGTTGTCGACGTTTTATTATCATAAGGATGTTGAGGAGAGATCTAAAGTTTATTGTCTGATTACAAATGATAACAGATTACACGTCCCAAGAAATTATTTAATACATATTATAATGATTCACTCTGTCAATGATAAACAATTATAGATAAGATGTTTTATGTGTGACTGTCATACATTTAGCTCCAGCAGACTCTGTGATCAATACAACTCGTTGTTTCGTCCATATTGACCTGCAAGAAGAGCCGACACTATGCCTCGAGAAACCGCCATGTTTTCTAAGTTTAAACCATTAGGACCTACTTTGACGGACGCAAATCCCATCACTCAATACTACGACTTGGGGATGCAAGTGGGGAGCGCTGGGCCCGAGTTAGCCTGGAAAATCTATGAAGCAGTTCGGAAGTCAGACAAAAGGGTGAGTGGAAATGCCTTTTAAAGCCCTATTCTTGGCTCACTCTTCATAATCTAATAATAATAAGGTGTTTCATCTAACAGATGGTATAATCAACCTTCATTATAAGGTATTAAAGAGGATTGTAAAGTAAACAATCCATTTATGTTCATAATGATTATTTAGCAAAAACAGGAAAAGCAATAATTTGAATTAGGCATCCAAAACAGCAGTTCTATGTGTAAAATATTTGAAAAGATTAAACAATTTAAAGTTGAGGTATTAGAATTTTAAGATGTAGCTAGATAGAATAGGTAATTATTCGTGTATTGAAAAAACTACAGATTTTGGGGTAGTTTGTGGCTTCTTTATTTTCCCAAGCACTGTTAACCAGATGTACAGACATCTTACACGAGTTTCTAATTATTCAAACATTATCTGAAAGCGAGTGTATGTATTTAATATATTCCGTCTAATGATTAGTGTCAGGTCACTAAACCAAAAAGTATACGACTCTTTATTTTGTATTAACATGGAGCTGTGAAAGTATGTACGTACGTTTGCATTTGGGGGTATCTCTGTTAATGTACAACTATCTAGACACCAATACCTGATTTATATATATTCCGTCTAATGATTAGTGTCAGGTCACTAAACCAAAAAGTATACGACTCTTTATTTTGTATTAACATGGAGCTGTGAAAGTATGTACGTACGTTTGCATTTGGGGGTATCTCTGTTAATGTAAAACTATCTAGACACCAATACCTGATTTTCATGGTATGCGATAATTATAATAACCAATTATGTTGCATACCTTTAGAATTAATGTCATAATCTAAAAACTCGTTTTTGGTAGCGTTTATGTATAGAAGGCTATCTGGCACAAAGGTCTTATTTACACGCTATATTTCTGGTTTTA